TTTTATAACTATTCTGCGGTGAGAGCTATGAGGACATCTAGTGGCAAAGAAGTATAGTCAAGGCCAGAGGTTACATTTTTCTAACTTGAAAGTACAATCCAGGTTCACATTAGGAATTAGGCCTGGTCTACACTAGAAAATTAGGTTGGTTTAACAATGTCGGTCAGGGGTGTGAAAAATCCACATCCCTGAGCGGCGCTGTTAAGATGACCTAAGTCATAAGAACATAAGTCCCTGTGCAGACAGCACTAAGTCAACTGCAGAATTCTTCCATCAACCTAGCTACCACTTCTCAGGGAGATGGATTACGTACCCCGATGGGAGAACGCCTCCTGTTGGCATATGTGTTGCCTGATCTATGGATTGTATTATTAAAATTACTGTTCAGTTGGTAGCCCCGATGTGCATGGTTGCAACACTCACACTTTAGGAACCTATCTGTATTTGTAATAGTTATATTAATACACTTAGCAAAGTCACAAAAACTCTATCACAGCAAGGTAGAGAGAGATAATGCAGAATGTACATCTGAACATCCATATACTCACACCACCCCTTACAGAACAGCCTGAAATGTTAGCCATTATCTTCCTCATCACTATCGCCAATGGCCGTCATCCTGGCATCTCCCAAGGGCTACATCTTTCCCTCCTCCTGCACACAGGCTGGGATACAACTTTTAGAATATGTTACACTGACACTACTCTGTCTAATGCATATTCAGTAGGGGTTTCTCCCTTCTTCCTTATCTGTATTTCCTCACCCTATTAATGTTGGGTGCCCTTCTCCTATTGGTTAGTATATTAATGACCTCAATTTATTATCATAAATGTCAATTTGTAGCCATGGTACTCTTGTGGTCAGACATCTGCAGATGTTCCCATCCTAAAATATCCAAAAGTTGCTGTTAGCTAATATTCCTGTGGTTGGCTGGTATCATTATGGACAAACTTCCCCCTTAAACACTTTGTTCCCAGTTCCCCAAAACTTAGGGGTGACCATTGGGCCATTATCTGTGCCAAAGTTCATAGGCCTCAGCCTTCATGCTAACTGATGAAGCCAATGTCATACAGGATAAAGGCCTGTAGGATTCTTGCATTACTGCTAAATAAAATAAATGCTAAAGCTAGTACAGGGTTACTGTCATAACTATAAAGGGAAGGGTAACAGCTCTCCTGTGTACAGTATTATAAAATCCCTCCTGGCCAGAGACTCCAAAATCCTTTTACCTGTAAAGGGTTAAGAAGCTCGGGTAACCTGGCTGACACCTGACCCAAAGGACCAATAAGGGGACAAGATACTTTCAAATCTTGGGGGGGGGGGAAAGGCTTTTGTGTGTGCTCTTTGTTTAAGGAGTTGTTCGCTCTTGGGACTGAGAGGGACCAGACATCAATCCAGGTTCTCCCCATCTTTCTAAACAATTCTCTCATATTTCAAACTTGTAAGTAAAAAGCCAGGCAAGGCGTCTTAGTTTTACTTTGTTTTCTCAACTTGTAAATGTACCTTTTACTAGAGTGTTTATCTTTGTTTGCTATACTTTGAACCTGGGCTAGAGGGGGGTCCTCTGAGCTCTTTAAGTTTGATTACCCTGTAAAGTTATTTTCCATACTGATTTTACAGAGATGATTTTTACCTTTTTCTTTAATTAAAAGCCTTCTTTTTAAGGACCTGATTGATTTTTCCTTGTTTTTAGATCCAAGGGAGTTGGATCTGTATTCACCAGGAGTTGGTGAAAGGAAGGAGGTGGGGGGAAGGGTCAATTTCTCGTTTTAAGATCCAAGGGGTTTGGATCTGTATTCACCAGGAGTTGGTG